TTGCTCTCAGTGTTTGAGGATATGCTTTAAGGGCTCTGACAGGTATTTTGCACCTGTCTTCCTTTTTTATTTCCCACTTGTTCAGAGCCTCAAGGTTAATCAGTGTTGAGTATCTTAGTGCTTTGAAAGTTTCCTGTGGACATCTCATTTCCAGTTTTTCCTTTTACATTTTTGGGTCAGCTTCTTTGCCTTGGTTGTTATTGTTGTCTCAGGCATCTGCTACATTAAATGATTGTCACTGATTAGTGACAAAGCTGATTAGTTTTGATCATAACCTCAGGGTATAAAAGCCTCTCACATAGCACAATCTCTTAAGTCAGGTCAAATAAAGACAAGGTCTGCCGTGAATTTCCAGGGATGTCCCAGGCAAGCCAAGTTGATAGTTCTCTGGGAATGGGGATTTGGGGGCAGCTGCAGATTTGTTCAGCTCTTTCCGATGACTGCCAGGCTGCTGGTTTTCAAACTACCATGATTGTGAGGCTGTTGGTTTTCACCTGCTGAATTGGATGTAGAAATAGGGCACAGCAAAATGGTGAAAAGTTTACTGTTATTACCAAGACTCAGCCGTTTTTCTTGAAGAAATGCTCTCCAGATTGTTGTAAGCCTTTGTTCAGCTTCCAGAGTTTTGAAAATGTTGATTTTTGACAAGTTTTGCTATTCTCTTTGCTTCTTTGGAGCCGCAGATTTTTGAGGGTCCTTACTCAGTCATTTTGAAGTCCTTCCCTCCAAACAGTCCTTCCCTGTTTGCTTTTATAATTGTAGCATTTTCTCTAATTTCTTAGAAGCATTAGTGATTTTATTTTATTTTTTTTAAGATACAGGGTTTCTTGCTCTGTTGGCCCAGGCTGGCCTCAGAACTCCTGAGCTCAGGTGATCCTGCCACCTTAGCCTTCTGACTAGCTGGGACTACAGGTGCATACCACTGTACCTGGCAAATAATGTGTTTTTAAAACTTTTCTTTTTTTTCCCCAAATTTCTTCTTCTTCCAGGTTGGGATTTTTGAGTATGTGTGTGTTTGTTTGTTTATTTTTTTGAGACAGGGTCTTGCTCTTTTGCCCCGGTTAGAATGCAGTGGTGTGATCATAGCTCACTGCAACTTCAAACTCCTGCACTCAAGCAAACCTTCTGCCTCAGCCTCTTGAGTAGCTGGGACTATAGGCAGGCACCACCATGCCCGGCTAATTTTTCTATATTTTGTAGAGGATGTAGTGGGGGGTCAGGGGAACTGTCTAGCTTTTGCTCTGGCTAGTTTTGAACTCTTGGCCTCAGGCATTCCTTCTGCCAGGATTACAGGTGTGAGCTGGCCTTTTTGTTTATTTTGATCCCTCTTTTTCATGTTAAAAGCTCTGAGTGTATAGGTAGAGCTGTGGTTGACTGTGAGATTGCTGTACATGAAATAAATATTTGTTTCTAGGAAATGATTTAAAATTTAAATTTTATAAATTTTTCTAGGCCAGGCGTGATGGCTCATGTCTGTAATCTAGCACTCTGGGAGGCCAAGGTGGGAGGATTGCTTGAAGTCAAGAGTTTGATACCAGCCTCATCAAGAGCAATACCCCTGTCTCTATTAAAAATAGAAAAAAATTAGTCAGCCAACTAGAAATAGAAAAAAAAAGTTAGCCAGGTGTGGTGGTACATGCCTATAGTCCCAACTACTCAGGAGACTAAGACAGGAGGATCACGTGATTCCAGGAGTTTGAGTTGCTGTGAGCTAGGCTGATGCCATGGCACTTTAGTACAGGTGACAGAGTGAGACCCCTTCTCATAATATTTTTTTTTTCTAGAAAGGAATTAATTTGTTCCAAATCTTATAGTAAAATAAATTCCAATTGAATTGAAGGTGAAATGTCAAAATTTAAATTCAGAAAATGTAGGTTAAAATGGTAGCTTTTTGTCAAACCAGTAAAGAAATTCATTTTAAATTGAGATCCAAAGATTTAAAATAAAAAAATTTGGCTTTAGAGGGATAATCATTAGTTGATATATTCGATGTCTTTGATTCTATGAAACTCACCCTTTTTGATTTGTGCAAATTGATAGTTCCCAAGAGAGGCATTTTATATTTCTGTGCTCAGACAAAAACCAGTCTTTCCATTTGTAAGGAATGTTTTGTTGGTGTTAGACTGTCTCTTGAGGTGCTAACCTGGGTAGGAGCTGTTATACCAGCATTATTGAGCAGAGAATGAGGGAGCTAGTAAGATAGGAATGTGAAAGCAAAGGGGATTCTGAATTAAGGTGTAACTACCAGTAATAGTGATCTTTATAATGCTCTCATTTAACAACTGAGTTCTCATACTCAGTTGTTCGGGCCTGCAAGGTTGTGGGTAATGTGGTCACAGTAAGTAGACCTTACCACTGATAAGGAATCTACACCCTCTGACACATTTGCCATTTATAGTGGTGAATAGTCTCCCAGGAATGGAAGAAATTCTTGCCCTCTTTCAGTTATTTCAGAAACAGCCAGACTAGAGGCATACTCAACCCTAATTTGCAAACTTACAGGCATGCCCACGTCAGAGGTGTGGTTGTGACACAATAAAGTGGCGCATTAGTCAGGACATGCCCTGGCAACCTGTGTAGTGATATTATTCATGAGCTTTTCAAGCCATTGGAGATCTTTATTACTTTTAAAAGGGAAGGTAATGGAAACATCATAAGAAATTGAGTCTAAGGCATCTTTCCCGACCTTTAATAACCACTGGATTTGAAAGTGAGTGATAGTTTTAGTCATATGTGGTCCTGAGATGGCAATTGAATTTTTATTCAGTACCAACTTTGATTATTGGTAGTGGCTACCTGGAGCAGTTTTGAGAAGGATTCTGAGGGAACATCTGGGCTTACTGGAAAGATGGCTTGAAAAGATTATTGATGTCTCCCATGGAATAGGGAGAGGTAGTGTATTAGGCTGGTTCATCCCTTTGATTTGCTGATGTGTGTTTTTGGCTTCCTTGTTCCTTAGTAGGTAAGCTCTGGAGGGTAGGAACTTTACACATTCAGTATCTAGCTAGCTTGTGCTAGGCACATAATGAGCATTCAAGTATTTGTTGAATGAATGAGCAAATGAATGGTCTAATACCAGAATGTGTGTGAAGTATCTAAAGTTTTCCAGAGTGAAGGTAGGGATGTGTTAGATTACATGTCTAATAACACAGTCGTGTAACTGTCTTGAGTGAGCATCTGCATGCCATGGTGCTTAATTAGCACAGAGAACCAAAAGAATATGGCTTCCATCTCTACCCCCAGGAAGCTTCCATTTTGTTTGGGAAGAAAAGACAAACATGTTTGCAATGATTAGAGCTTGTAGGACAGGATGGTGTGTTAGAAAGTGTTAAAATGTCCCCAAAATGTGTGGCATAGGTTTGAATGTAAAAATACATTGCTTTATAATCTCAACCTATACACTTATTCCAACATACCTTTGTTTTGCGTGGGAAAGCTTCTTTTTTCTTAACTTTTTTCTGCTAGGTAAGGTAACACTTCCTTCCCACCTTTTCCTCTCATTTTTGGTGTCACTAGGATGGAATATTTTGACTGGTTGAGGAATTCTACTTTAATTTAGATGCTAAGGTGAAATGATCCATTAATAGGAAATAAATGTAATGCAGACTTCTTTCAGCTGGAGATTACCCAGCCATGACATTTGTTTCTAGAGAAATTATTTATATAATTTTTGACTTAAGCGTAAGTCAGCATAAGCTTTTGTAATTTAGTACATTTTGAAAAGCTGTATCCTAAATAATTGACAGCTTATGCTTAGAAAGAATTAGGAGAAATATACAGTTTTCATAATGTATACATTTTATGTAGACTGGTCAGTTTAATATAATGTGAGAGAGCACGAGCTCTAGATTCTCACTGTCAGGGCTGAAATCTGTACCTCACCATGTCACCTTAAGAAAGGAATGGGGTCTTGATTTCCTTATCTGTAGAATGGGGGTGATACAAATCTTTCCTAAGGCTGTTAGTTTGATTGAATGAAATCTTTGAGATAGACCCATAGGCTTGTTCTTGATTTATGGTAAGTTGCTCAGTTATTGTTGGCTATTGTTAATGTTATTGATACTGTTTTTGTTTTTATTATTAGATGGTTTTGTATCATTGACTTTTTTGGGGTTTTTTTGGGGGGTTCAACCTCACATTCATGTTTTAATATAATTGGCTGTAAACCTTGATGGTTAATAGTTTATATGTATTTTTGCTTTCATACAGGTTGAATGTAATTTTTACAAAATTTGATGAAGTCCAGAAATCCGGGAACATGATCCAGTCTGCAAATGGTGAGTAGAAAAGCAATCACTATTTCTGCCTTTTCAGTTTTATGTCAGTAACACTTATGCTGTTTGTCAACAGGTGAATTAGTTATTTTAGTAAGGGTTTCTAGGTCTTAAAACTTAACCTCCGGCCGGGCATGGTGGTTCATACCTGTAGTCCTAGCGCTCTGGGAGGCCGAGGCGGGCAGATCATTTGAGCTCAGGAGTTCAAGACCAGCCTGAGCAAGAGCGAAACCCCCATCTCTACTGAAAAAATAGAAAGAAATTAGCTGGACAACTAGAAATATATAGAAAAAAGAAGCTGGGCATGGTCGCGCATGCCTATAGTCCCAGCTACTCAAGAGGCTGAGGCAATAGGATCACTTGAGCCCAGGAGTTGGGGGTTGCTGTGAGCTATGCTGACGCCATGGCACACTAGCCCGGGCAACAGAGTGAGACTCTGTCTCAAAAAAAAAAAAAATCTTAATATCCATTCACCCGCTTTCCCAGGCTAGAGTTATCATTTACTTTCTTTCATAACTTATATTGAATCCATTAACTAATCCTGTTGGCTTTACTTTTAAAACTGCATTCTGAATCTCAATAATTCTCATCATCACTGCTACTATCTTCCTAGTGCAAGCTGTCTTGCTATTTTACCTGGGCTCTGTGGTACCTCCTAACCAGTATCTTTTCTTCTCTTCTTTCCTCATGCCTGAAGTCAGTTTTTCACATAGCAACCGGACTTACCTTTTAGAATGCAAATCAGGTGATGTTAATCTTCATTTCCAAATCCTCCAAAGGCTTCTCGTCACACCGAGCCACATTCAGTGGCTTGCCATGGCCTACCGCGCTGCATCATCTGGCACCTACTACCATTCTGATGTCATTTCTGTTATTCTTTCTGAAAGTTCTATTTGCTCCTGCCCCATTGGCCTCCTTGCTGCTTTTGAACATTCCGAGCAACTCCTGTTTCAGGGCCTCTGTGCTTATGATTCCTTCTGCCTGACACATTTGTCCCCTGGGTATTATTATGGTCTTCTCCCTCACTCCACGCAGATCTCATTTCTATAGTATCACTTCATTACAGAGGCCACCCAAAATAGCACATCCAGGAACTCTCTGTGCCCTTACCCTGCTTGAGTTTTCTTCTTAGTGCTTATCACTACAAAATATTTGTTTACTCAGGAAGGCATGATCTTTATTTTATTTCCTTTATTTCCCATTATTTTATTCTCACTGAGCAGGAGCTCAGGGCCTTGAAGAATCCCTGGCATGTGGTAGGTGTGCAATAAATATTGTTGAATATGTGAATTGCAACCCATAGTTTCCAATTTCTGTATTCCTTTCACTATACTTAGTGATGATATTTGAGGACAAGTGGGTAATTCTGATTCCAGAAGGAGAGGAAAAGACAGGAGGGAATTAATGTGTGAATGAAAAGACATCAAAAAGTTAATTGCAAATAAGAACTTATTCCTAACTCTGTATACCTCACTCATTTAGGGATCTTAGATCATAGCCTTCAAATTTTGAATATCTTGAGTTTGTAAAGAAAAGTTTTGAGTGCTTTTCCCCAAAGCGACTTGGTACATGAGGGCAGGGCAGGTGACAGAATGCAGGTCTGCTGTATACCTACCATCATTCCATTATTATTCCAAAGGAATTTTTCTTTAGATAGCATGTTTCCTATAAAATGCTTAATGTGATCTAAAAATGCTTTTATTAATCCTTCACTTTTTTGTATGACTGTAAAAACATAACAATATTAATAGAAAAAATATTTATCCTAATTCAGCTGTTACTGACAAAAATCATTTATTTTTCCATATTTTGTTATACTCCATTTTCCTTTAACTGTATAATTTGTATATAGTTTTAACCATAGTATAATTTTCTCTGTTTTACTCTGTACTTTCATATATACTTTTATATGTGCTTTAAAAAAAAGTGTCATTGGTAGAGATGTGACTGGAACTCTGGCATCTGAGTTATGTACTGGTGATGAGTGGGGTTAATGGGTGTCCATGGGCAGGTGTATGCAGGCAGTTAGTTACTGGACACATGCTTTTACTTTTGTTTGTGTGTATTTGTTTAAGAATTGTTAACACGAAGACAGAAACTTCTGGGCAAAGAAGTAGAAATAGTGGCAGAAAAGCAAGTTTGTTCTTCATGCACCAGTATTATAACTATGAAAAGGAATCTCATTATAGTGCTGGTTTTGGGAAGAAAGACTGTATCTATATTGCATTCCTTGCCTAGAAGAGTGTACATATACTCTATGGTAGCAGTCCCCAACCTTTTTGGCTAGAGGGACGGGTTTCATGAAAGGCAGTTTCTCCACAGACCTCAAGGGTGGGAGGCCATGGTTTCAACATGATTCAAGCACATTACATTTATTGTGCATTTTATTTCTATTATTAGTACATTTAATATGAGATATGAATATGGAAAATGAATTATGAAATATGAATCATTTCATAATGAAAGTAATTATACAACTCACCATAATGCAGAATCTAATGCCACTGCTGATCTGACAGGAGGCAGAGCTCAGACAGTGATGTGAGTGAAGGAGAAAAGATGAGGCTTTGCTCGCTTGCCTCTGTGGCCCAGAGGTTGGGGACCACAGCTCTGTGGGTTTCCTTAAATATGACAAATATGATTTAATCTGAAGAACACCAAAATTGTGTGGCACCGGGTTTTTCACTGCAGCCTTTTATTCTAAGTACCCAGGTGTAAATGTTGCCCCCAGGTTCTCTTAATTTTGTGTGTGTGTGTGTATCTGTGGGCTTAGTAGTAGGGTTGAAGATGAAAACAGTTCCTCTAGGCATCTATGTTAAAAATAGCAAACGGTAAGGAAGCCTTAACTCAAAATTTCTTGGAAGCCTATAATCTTTAGTGTATATGGGTATATAGATACACATGTATATATTGTCATTGTTAGAGCCAAAATATTCGTTTAAAGGAAAACGAGTAATATTTTATGAGTAAAAAATGAGTAAAATTTTATGCCTGTGCATAAAATTTTCAAATTCCTAACCCATTTATTTATAGTAACTTGGAGAGACCAGTAAGATCAAGATGTTCACTAGCTATCAAAAAACAAACTACCTGATTTCTTCCCTCCCCTCCTTATTTTATTTCCTTTATTTCCCATTATTTTATTCTCACTGAGCAGGAGCTCAGGGCCTTGAAGAATCCCTGGCATGTGGTAGGTGTGCAATAAATATTGTTGAATATGTGAATTGCAACCCATAGTTTCCAATTTCTGTATTCCTTTCACTATACTTAGTGATGAT